AAGCTTTTCACCATGTTTTGGGCAGACTCTGACCTACTTATTTTTAATCTATCACTTGGCTCCATCATTTTGCTTTGCTGTCCTTAATCCTGAGCTGTTCCTTTTGTTTCATCAGCTCACAATTTTTGCGTGTAGGCATCTCTGGATTAATCTTCTTGCTTACTATTTTGGGAGAAAGTGCCCTGCATTCCTCTGCTCCACTGTGAAATCTTCCAAATAGAAATATTTACTCAGGACTTTTGTGACCTGGAGAAGTCACCTCCCCTGGCTCACAAGTGGTTTCCGCATTGTCTACACAACAACTTTACAACTTTGCTTCTTGGCATGAGGTAAAAAGATAAACAAAAACAGCAGACAAACCCCAGACCCCAACAGGTTTGACTACCAGATTTGAGTTGTCTGGAAATGAAAAGTATGGAAGGGCTCAAGTGAGCTTGCCACTGAATTGGTACTGGGGAGACTGGAAAATAAGAAAACATGGGACAACTGTGTCAAGTTCAATGGCATCCTAGTCCTGCCTTCTTCAATCTGCTCTGCTGGAGTGTTTCTTAATTTGTTCTGCACTATCTAAAGCTGGATCTTCCCAATATGAATCAGAATCTTTCCAAAATGCATGTACTTTGTGGACAAAAAACTGTAAGGAATCAGGCTGTGGTAAGAAGTCTCTCTTGTAATTTCTTCAGCTTACACTCAAGATTCCACCAGGTCAAGGGCAGTGCATTTTCATGATTTAAGGTTATATTAAACTATAATAGTTGAATTTAAACAAATATGTAAAGAAATACCAAGTTGAAGTTGACTGCTTTTATCATCCTCTTCCCACTTTAGCAGTGCTACTTTAACTTCAAAATGCAGTCAGGGCCCTGAGGGCACTCAAGAGTGTTAACTATCCTGAGCATCCTCACCTGGAGTCAGCACCCACCCCCTATGCCCAGTGGCTCCATTTAAGCTCTCCATTGCCACTTTGCTCAGTTTCTGCCTAAACTATTTTGTAGATGGGTCTGCTTTTAGCGTGGCCTTTTGGGTAAGCCTCAGCATCCCTCTGCAGGTAGCCCTCCTCCTGAAGGACCCCACCAGGTGTTTAATGCAGCTAAAACCAGTTCTGGCTCTGTTTCTTTTTGTTCCTGCATGGAGCCTGGGCCTGCTTTGTTGTTCCCAGCCTCTGGGGCAGCTAATGGACCCTGTCACCACTATTTCTTTCTGCTGGCTATTTTCAGATCTTGTGGGACTGCTTGTGCTGAGATTTCCCTTGGCTCCTGGTTTGTGTGCCCTTTGGGAACAGTGGCCAGTTGCTAATTTCTGACAAATATTTTGGAAGCAAGCTTGCCCTCATTTAAGTCAAGAGAACAAGCTAGTAATCTTTGTAGGGAGGTCCAGCTATTTTTGGCGCTTCACTTTATATTCACTCAAGCAGAGCTATCCACACGCACTTGCAGATATAGGCCCCATGAGGAATATGTCTACTTATAGCATACAGTTCCTCTTTCTATCTTAGGGTGGAGTTCACGTAAGATGACAGTCCTTCTATTTATTTATTTAGTCTGCTGAAGTTTTCTTCAGCTCTATCTTCTCCTCACACCTGCAGTTTGCTTTTTGAATGCTGTTGAGTTAACAGAGGCAGGGAATGGCAAGTAGTGTGTGAGTAAACACAGGCTATGTGTTTGTCATCTCTCTTCATGGTGTGCATTATAAGCCTGACTGTGCTCTGAGCTGTACTAAAGCATGGGACGTGCTTGGACATGCAGAGGAACAGATACCCTTACGCTGCATGTTTACAAGGAACCCTTAGTTTCACTAACTGGCCTGTAAAGTCTCCAGTTTACTGTGCTGGTTATCTTCTCACCTTGTGGTTCTGTACGATTAATGCATCTGAACACAACAGGCATAACACACAATTGCAGGTATGCTGTCTTTCAGAATTTAGCATGAGGTGGATGCTGTTCTTTTCACATTGTGGCTTTCAAAGGCTAAAATGTAATAATTAGACTGGTTACGTAGTCCAGTCTAATGAGCCTTTTCAATGCACACAGGATTTTAACAGGGTACCTGTGAGAGTATTTTTGCTTTTTGGCTATTAGAGATCTAAGAAGGAACAATTGCTTCAACTGGCCTCTCATGTTCCAATCTGAGGATGGACTATGAGCAAGCCTTTCTTGCCTAAGCCTCTGTATGTGAGTGAGGCACCTGTAAGAGGCCTTTTAAAAACCTGGCAAAACACATTAATAATAAAAACTAGGTGTCACGTTAGCAGATGCCCAGAAGCTTGAGTAATAATGATGCAGTGGTAATGGAATACTTTTTCATGCTTTGTTGGCAAATCACTTTTTTTGTTTGCTGTGTTCCTGATCTTTGCCCCTTCAAAGCATGGCACGTCCAAATCTTCCTCTGAAGCTTTTCTCTTTCAGTACAGAGCCTGTGGTGCCCTCCACCTCTGTGTTGGGTATGTCTGCTCCACATCAAGCTGTCACTGTTGCATCTCAGCTCTGTGCTGAGATGCTGGCAGTGCTCTGACTTTGGAGTAACTCAGGCAATTTTTACAAATCCCCCTGCTAGTCCATCTCTGAGCTGGCCCTGTGCAAGGATGATTACACGGAAGCTGCTTCTTTTGACTTTAGCATCCTTGATAAATGACTTTGTAAAATTATCTATGAACAAAAGAATATTAAATATAGAGTGTGGCTGTCTCTTTTCCTTCAACACCTAAAGCTATGCTTCCTGAACAGTGGAGTGGCACTGCTAGAAGACATGATAATACTGAATTAGGTTCAAGACCTTCGAGGGAACACTGTGCTGTTGAGTGGAGCTGAAGAGACCCCCCTAGATCCCTAGTGCTAATGAACAGAAAAGACAACCATCTTTCCTCACTCTCCTGGGAAATGACAAATGTAACAGACTGGTTTGATCTCTTGAAAGACGTGCAGCGAAAAAGAATGCTATAGGAATCAGTCTAGGCCTTGGGTGTGTGTATGTATACACATTCCAAAACTAGTACTTCCCACTGATTATATAAAAAAATGGTGAAACTGAGTAGCCATTAAAATGTATCCTATTGTATATGTGCTCCCAGCCTCCCTGTGTAGGGCTCTTTCTCGCCCAATCTGTCATTGTTCTCATCCAATGCTCACAAACAATAGCGAGAGCCCCGACCATTTGATGAAGTCAACATGCTGTGGAGTAGGGGCTCTCCCTCAAAACGTTCATCTCCTTTCCGTAGATGGCTGTTCTGATGTGTTTGGGTGTGGATTCTGAACATTTTCAGAAAAGGAGAGATAGGGTGATCCAGTCCATTGACAAGGTCAAGTAGTTATGAGAACCTGTAAGCAGAAAGAAAAATTGCGAGACCGCAACATGAAAGCCCTCATTTCAGTAATCACCATGGAAAACTGAAAAGGGTCACCCAAGGCCAAAACAAAAAAACCTTGCAAGATCCCATCGTTCATGTGCTTGTATTCCATGGTGTTAGGAACCATTCTACTTGGCAAATAGGCTTTCACTGCTGGACAATGCAGTGCTGCTGGTTGCAGTAGTGGCTGGCTACAGGTTGAGTTTTTGCACCTCCGTTGCTCTCCCTGACCACAGCAATGACTTCATTTTTGCAGGAGAGCTTTATGCATTGCCTGGCACGGATCCTGCTCACTGCCCCAGCTCCTGGCATCTAAATGACTGAGCACGAATTCCAAGTCCCTCTTTGGACATCGAGTTCTTCCTCTGATATGGTTCTCAGATGCTCTGGAATGTTGTACCTAAGAATCTTTTAAAATTGAGGGTGACAGGATAACGAAACTAGATCTGCCTTTACAGAGCGAATGGAGGGACCTCCTCATCTCTGACCCCAATCTTCTGATCTCTGCCCGTGACTCCGGAGGACGAGGAGGAATAAGAGCTGTAACAACCCTCTTTCACGGAGAGATCGCCTCGCACACTCCTCAACGTCGGAAAAGACTCCCTCGGCCGCCTCTCCCGCCCCGCAGCCCATCACCACAGCGCCCGCCGCCTCACAGCGCGCAGGCGCCGCCCTCGGCCCAGGCTCCGCCGCGGGGGCGTGGCGCTGTGGCCGGACGCGGCGGGAGGGGCGTGGCCACGCGGCGGAGCGTCGGAGCCGTGAGGGGAGGGGGAAGGAAGACACCGGGTACGGAGCCGCCGCCGCTGCCGCTCCCCTCCGTCAGGTAACCGGGGCTGGGGGGCGGTGTCGCGAGCTGCTCGGGGAAGCCGGGTCGGGCGGCCGAGAAAACGGCGGCGGCGGCCCTCAGCGAGGGCTCTGGACTGAGCGGCACCGGCCCTCCCCGTTCCAACACAAAGCGCCGGGCCCCGTTCCTGGCCCTCCGGCCGAGGCCGGTACCGAGCGCCTCTCTGCCGCGGCTACAACTTTCTGTCCGGCTCGGCCACCGGTTCCACTTCTCTACCTTCCGCGTCGGGACGGCGGCGGCAACTTTCCGCGGCCGGTTCCTGCCCTTCGCCGCGTCGGCCGGCCCCTCCGCGGGGCGGGCGCGGCGGCGGGGCCTCCCGTCAGCTGTTCGCTCTGTTTGTTGTCGAGCTGCCTGCGCTGCCGGCGGCGCCCGGCGGCGGCGCCGGGGGCCGAGCCGGCGGCGATTGGCTATGCGCCGTCACGTGACGCCGGGCGGCCTGGCCCGCCCCTGCGAGGGGCTTTGTGTGCGGCGGGGGCAACGGACGCGCCGCGCACGCGCGGGTTTCCCGCCGCTCAGCCATTTGCCCCTGGGGGCGCCGAGGGGAGGGGGGCTGCTGCGGGGAGAGTTCGTCCGGCGGTGCGTGGCATCGCGTAGGTTGGGTTTCTGCTGGGAAAGTGAGGGGGCTTACCGTGTTTGGGAAGGGCTGGGTGGCTCTGTGGAGTGCTATGGCCGAAGAAATAGGGTGAAGGTTGCCGTCCGCCTGTCCTGTGGGGCACCGCGCAGCCCTCACCTCTGGCGTGGCAGCGGCTGCAGGCGGGGCTGCGCAGTGCCGTGCCTTAAGCTGTGGGCATGGCTGGTTCGGCTGTGTGCCCGTGCTTACCCACCGGAAACCTTAAAGCCCGGTTTGGGAGGCAACAACAACAGATTTGTCACTTATTATCTGACAGACTAGCTGCACTTATGTGTATTTATGTGTTTAGCTTTCCCTCTGCTGGTAGTCATCACAAGTTCAAGTAGTGTTGTCCAAGCTTAGGTTGTTCATCTTTGTTTACTATCGCTTGACCTATGTTGAAATCTTGAGTTGCTCAGCTGTTGCTTATACAACCCGCTTAGGAAAGGCTTCTCTTAAAAAATAAATAAACAAATAAAAATGTTGTGAAATATATATATTAGTACTTAGTACCAAGGTTGTCTTCATTTCATAGCCTCTACCTAAGAGTTTCATAGAGGGTGTGAGAATTTGTTGGTGAGATGCCCTTCAAGTATTGACAACCTATCAGCCAGTGGATGTAGTTTGGGTGGAGGTTGTCTTCTCACCATGGTATGCTATATATTTTATCTTTTCCTATGGTTCGTTTTAACCATTGCTGTCTTCTGGTGAAGATTTGTACCGCGCTGACACCAAGGATTCTGAGAACGTCTGAATTAGTTTGATTTTCGGAAAGTTGTAGAGTAGATGGAGTGACAAAAAGTCGTTTTGTATACCTGCTGTAAAAGTAAATTTATTACAAAACCAGGAAATACAGATTTCTTAAAACACTTGAGGAATTAAGGGAGAAGGTAACCAGGAAAACAAGGAGACAGAAATTGTCACTAATTTGTGGGCCCTGTGTAGAGGGGAAGAAGCTTGGCCTGAGTCTGGTACCACTTGTAAGATAATACAATATATGTTATCTGGCAAGAGTATTGTGATGATGTAAGTTACTGTGGGGGAGACACTGGGGTACGGGGGCTGTGTTAGGAACCAGCACCCATCTGTGTGCCTCTGCTATCTGTAAACTTGAAACAAAATCCTGTCTTAGTGTTTGCATACACCAGCATCATGTATGTTAGCGTATTTAAGTGCATTGTCTGCACGAGAAGCTTTCCCTTTACCTGAACAAGCCAGTTTGCAATAGAAAATTACACTGCTGTAACTTGCCCAAACACAGTTTCGTGGGGCAAGGCGCCTTGTTGTGGGTGGGTGCCACGCACTGTGTCTGGGCACAGTGTTCGTTATGTTGCCAAAGCCTCTTTGGTAGTTTGACTGTTACCTTCTTTGTACAGTTCTAGAGTCTCAAAACGGTTCTAATGAATGTAGCATACTGTTTGAGTTTGCATCTTTTTGCTTTTGGCTACACATGGTGCTTTCTGATAATGAATTGTGCATCTAGGCAGAGGCCAGAGGCCAGGCCCTGCTTGCTTTAACAGTCACAAAAGTCGTGTTGGAAGACTGCAAAATCTTGGACCTGCTGGGAGACTGTTTTCAGATGCACCCTCACTTGTGAGCAGCAGAAACCTGGGAAGGTAAAGAACAGGCTTTTGTTGTTGTTGTTGTTGTTTTTTTCTCCCTTACCGAGTGATTCTTTTGTGTGCAGTCTTGTGTAGCTGTGCTAAGTGGTTTTTTTCTGTTCGTCTTTGAGATGAGAAGAGGAAGCTTAAGGCCTGTTCCTGAGATGAGAAGATGAAGTTTAAGCATGGTTCTAGAGTAAGTACCTTTTCAGAAGGTTTTAATGTGCCTAGGGGGATGCATCATCATTCCTCAAGGTAGAGTGCTTGTTGGCTCACCATACAAAGACAAATGATATTAGTTAGACAAACGGAGAAAGAGGGGCTGTCATAGCTTGGTATAACTGGCAGCTGTTTTCTGTTGCAGATCTGAGATGCGGTAGATGGTGCTGAAGCAGCACTGAGGCTTCTGCAGTATCCGCAGTCCAGCGTGTGCCTGCTGGCTGTCCCAAACACTGATGGTCCTGTGTCTTCATGAGATGCACTCTGAGATGAGAAAACGCTGACTGTTAGTTTTAAAAATGTTAATAAAAAACTCTTTCCATTATTTCTGTATTATTTATGAAGGCATACAGATTAGGTACCACAAATACCGGCTACACGGTGCTTCCAATGTTTGGAGCTCTGCGTACAGATGGTGGTGAAATTTCAGCTGTCAAATGTCAGCTCTTTGACAGCTGTTGCTCAGTGTTGTCAAAATCAACACTTAAAGACAGGTGGAAGTGTGGGAGCACGCTGCAGTAGGAATGCATATAGCACACAGCCACAGCGCTCGTGTTTCCTGTCTGTCCATGCACTTACTGGGAGAAGCACGCAGGCAGGAAACGTTTTATGTTCTGACTAAGGATATGTATATCCAGGTTTGTAGCATCACAGCAGTGCGCTGTCAACAAACCTCACTAGCTAGGTAAGGCTGTCTGTCACTCTGAGTCTTCTTCTAAAGGTGCTTTCAGGGATACATGTTGGTGGTGTTCTGAGTGCTGACTTGGGACACTAAGCATGAAGTGCTGTCACTTCACAAAAGTACCCGGCTCTTTAAGTTGTGTGGATTTGACAGGTACTAATGGGATATAAAGTAAATAAGTCTGCTGCTTTTATTTTGGATCCATTAATTTAATGTCATGACTTGTCTTGGGTCATTTGTATGAGGGCAGGATGGCAATGACTTCATCATGGACACATATCCAATGAAGAATGTTTAGTTTGATTTTAAAGAAGGAAACATAGGCCGAAAAGCATTTCTTAGCATCATAGAAGCATAGAATCAACTCTTCACCCTTTGGTTTTGTAAACAACTGAAATTCTGTCCGCTGCTTTTGCAAATTCTGCTGGTTAGCATAATGGCATTGGTGTGATACAGTAGTGTTGCTTTCTGAGGTTGTGAACAGCAATGGAAATTGCCTGGCTCTGTACAAATGGATGTTATTTCCCCTATCTGTAGGGTAAAGTGCAGATGAGTGGGTAGGTGCACTTGTGTGTTTGCCCTTCCCCTGATTGCAGGAACTCAAGTTTTAATGTTTTGTAACTCTTTGTTTTTTTTCTTTAAGAGAGCGAGCCTTCCACTGCCTGTAGGGATTTCTTTTTTCCAAATCATTCGTGTATGTGTAATCTTAAATAGATGCTGACATCTTTCGTATGAAAAGTGAAAACTATAGGAAAAAGAAAATCACACTTCTTTGTACACAGCTTGTATGTGAGGTATACAAGTCCCAGTTCCATTCTCAGTAGGATTCCACGTGCTCTGTTTCCATTTTCCCAACTGAAAATTGCTTTCCTTTGGTCAGCTGTGCTGCTGCTGTTTTCTCCAGTATAAAGAGAGAGTAGATGCAACAGAATTCAGGAGCCTTGGATAAGAGGAAAGCAGCATACTCATTGTGTACCACCTTTGCTGGTGTTACAGAGGAATACTGCCATATACTATATATATATATGTATGTATATTGTCATAAAGAAAATGGGGGAATGAGCCCAAGTTGAAATTCTCTAAATTATATGGGAGAGAAAAGCAGTTCCTTGTTCATTCTCTATAAAAGTTCGTGATCAGATGCAGCATTGGAGACTGCCTCGCCAGCAGTCATTGTGTAACTTTTCTACCTCTTACAGCTGTGAGCAGTAATGTAAAGAGTAATGCAAGGTGACCAGTGTTCAGCTGGATCCTTATCAGGTTGCTGAGATTCTGTAATGATCAAAACAGGGCTAATTAGAGGGTTTCTAGCTCTTTCAAATGAAATCTGCAGAGGGGCGGATGAGTCCAGTGGATATTTTAAATGTTAGAAATTCCAGTAGGATTACATTAAATTTTGAATATGTTTCTAAGAGACCGCTTTGTTGTGATGCAGATCTTCGAGGTTCATTTTCTAACCTTGGACACGTGTTTATCTTTTCAAAGAGACATGTAGTCATTCCGATGCAGCGTGCCCTGGAGAGCTTTCTTCCAGTACCAGTTCTGTTACATTCTGCTGTAACTTCAGCAGGGATTCCCACAGCCTTGTGTTACCATGGGATACATCTTTGTCTTTCAGTTAGAATCCATGTCCCACTGGAAGCTTCATTAGCATTGCATTTCTTGATGAGGTATCTTTCAGCTGCTTGCAGCCATTACCTCAGGAAAAAAGCACCTGTTTGGATGCTGATTCCTCTTCCGCAGGAACTTCTGGTCAACTAACTGTTTTTAGTCCACAACAAAATCAGCGTAGAAATAATGGTATCCAGAATGGGTAGGGATGGTAGGTGGAGTTGGGCCAAGTGCCTTACGGGTGTATCTGTCACAGTTGCTCTTATCGCTTGTGTTTGTGGTTTCTTCTGGCTGGAGACTTTGATACTTACTTAATCAGTTACACTTATTGTCTGTTGATTGATACTTAAATAAATGGAAGGCAAACACTGTGTTTTGAGTGGAGTCATAAGGAGTTGCATCGCTACATTCCCATGTCTAAAATGTTTTATCAAACTTAAAACCTGTTCCATCTCTTCTTCTAAGAAGAGCAGTGGGCATTGTATCACCCATAAAGGAAAGTGTCATTCCATTGCTTTGAATGTTCATGTGTCCTTCAGATGAGACATGGAATGCTATGTTATCATAGAGTAGCCTGGGTTGAGAAGGACCACAATGATCATCTGGTTTCAACCCCCTGCTATGTGCAGGGTCACCAACCACCAGACCAGGCTGCCCAGAGCCACATCCAGCCTGGCCAGGGATGGGGCATCCACAACCTGTTTCGCAACCTGTTCCAGTGCTTCACCACCCTCTGTGTTGAAAAACTTCCTCCTAATACCTAACCTAAACCTCCCCTGTCTCAGTTTAAAACCATCCCCCCTTGTCCTATCACAAGCCACCTTTGTAAAGCTGTTCCCCCTCCTTCAATGCTAACCCCTTAAACTTGAAATAGATTTAGTTTAGGTATTTGTGCTTCCCGGAGTGTATGGCATAAAATACTCAACTTGATGGGCACATCTGATGAATTTCCTAATAAACAGCACATTGTTTCCTGCTCTGAAATGTGAAACACCAACAGTGTTCGTATTGCAGTGTGTCAGATTTACTTACACTGTTTCTTTATGCACGGCCATACAAAGCCCTGTTTTCTGAAGCACAAGTGGAGGCATATTTCACTTGTTTGGTCCTTAAACTTTTATGCAATTGAAATGAAAATAGCATCTTCATTTAGTTCCTTTATTGTGTTATCCTTCATTATTTGAGTTTTTGACTGTCTGATAAGTTGCCAAGATGCTTTAATTTTCGCTGCCTACGAAGGTCTGCAGATCTGTGTTACTCACTTTCTAAGCTCTTTCTCTGATCAGAGGAGTTGCTCACATATTTTAGGGATGATGTTTTGGAAAGTGCTTGTGTAAATGGCAGTGTTTTGTGTTTAGATTAGACAGCTTTAAGTGTTTGTTCCTAAAGCTGCCTGGTGTGAAGGCTCAGAGGGCTAATAGAGGTAAGTAGAGGAGCCCAGTCTGCTCCAGCAGGAGACAGAAACCTCCTGGATGGTGGTAGTGTGTGGCTGCATATGACAAATGTGCAAAGCATAGGAGAAATGTATTTATAAAAGGCGGAGGGGGAGTGATTTGGGATGATTACACTATAATTGTTTTGGTGACTCAACGTCCTTGTCTGTGCTTCATTTCCCAGTGCTGACTAAGGTGGGTGAGTAGTTGGGAACGTGTACTGGAATGGAATTTCAGCATCATATTACAGGAAAAGAAAGCAGGGAAAAAGTAGAAGCTTTTCGTTTTAGCAACTGTATGGTCCAGTAAGGGTCTGGGCTGCAAACATCTGCACTGTATTAAATGGCTTGGGTTCATATTTCCCTTATTTAATGTAATTAGTTTGTATCTGTGTGTGCCATCTTACTAGTAAGGTGGTCACTTTTAGAGAAGAGATTATTGTTTTTGTTAAGCTTGATATTTCTTAACCTGGTGAGAAAGGATGGGGGCAGCCTGTAGTTGTGATGTGCGCAATGTTCAGCGATGTGTGTGGGACTTCTTTTGATTTTGTTTGCTGCAGTGCTTTCTTTATAAGTGTGTGATCTTTCTTCTCACTTTCAGATCCTGACTATTAACTTACATAAGCTCTAAAAATGGGAAGAATTTTTCTGGATCACATTGGCGGCACTCGCCTGTTCTCCTGTGCAAACTGTGACACCATTCTGACCAATCGTTCGGAGCTCATCTCCACTCGCTTTACAGGGGCCACAGGGAGAGCTTTTCTTTTTAACAAGGTTGGTAAGAAGCTGAGGGTGAACTATTTGCTTTAGAAAAATGACTGTGGGAAATGAATCTGTCATCACTTGGCACTGACTCGTAATGGCTAGCAAAAAAGTATAGCCTGTCTGTATCCTCAGCCACAGAGTCTTTCTTTTTCTTAGATGATTATTTCAAAAGCATCCCAAGATTTTTAAGAAGCGCACCTTACTATTTTAATTCTGATTTGTGGACGCAGTGGCATCAGTCTACAGATAAGGCAGATGTAGTACAAGTGGTTCAATCTCGGTTAGTTGTGCTCACTGGGGCTCTCTCACCCAAAGCTGAACGAGGTACTCTGCACTCATGGACTCCTTATGAAGGAATTTCATGCCTGTCAGTTAAGCAGCAATGGTTGTACATCCTTGAGAAATACATCTTCAAAAGCATTACCTCTTCTAGGCAGGTAGGGCTACAGACTATTACACTTGAGCTTTCAGGTGCCACAAGCTCTTTGCCTTTAAAGCACTGAGAGTCATGCCTACTGTTTTCAAACTTCACTCTGTTTGAAACTAGACTAATTCTTTCTATTCCTTATTTTCTGTACGTCTGCATCAGGTGGTAAATCTGCAGTACAGCGAAGTTCAGGATCGGGTCATGCTCACTGGCCGCCACATGGTTCGAGACGTGAGCTGCAAGAACTGCAACAGCAAACTGGGCTGGATCTATGAATTTGCCACTGAAGACAGCCAGCGCTACAAGGAAGGCCGTGTTATCCTGGAAAGAGCTTTGGTCCGAGAGAGCGAAGGATTTGAGGAGCATGTTCCATCTGACAATTCCTGAAGAGGCTTCTCTCAGGTTCTCTTCATTTGAAACTTAAAGTAATAAAATCAACAAAAAAATCTGCTTACATACACTGTCACCTTAGCATCAGAGTCGGATTCATGGACTACAGAGTAGGAAAGATTGTGAGAGTATTTCAGATGGAACCTTCCTTTCTTTGTTCCTTTATATTTTATTTTCCCTCCAGCAGCTGTTTGTAGAAAGATTGTTTTGCAGTTGCTGTAAGGTTTTTCTGTCTTGCATTTCCATCTGTTAAATCTGAGACAGTATCTGCAGATACAGTGAGCTAAAAGGAAAATGTTGGAAGAATTTTTCTTTTGTTAGAGAGAGATCAATGGTTGTTTTTGTTTGGTTTTTTTTTTTTTAGTTTGCACAAACTGATGTCAGCATAAGGTTATTTTAAAATTACAGGTGTTTTTTTAAAAGTATATTCCAATTTTTGGCATAAGATTTTAGCTACTTTTTTTTCTACTCAATCTTTTCACCTGATTTGCTAGCTAAAGTAAAGAGATCCGAATTTGTGCCGAGTGCTAAAGGTTCAGTGTTGGTACAGCTTGGGCTGGCCCTTGTGCCATATTCTTGTTGAGGTTGATTGGTAGCACAGAGCCCATTATTTCTTGTCATTCTTGACCCAAAGATGTCACCATTCCTTGTTTATTTGTGAAGTCCCGGTCACCATAAACTGGTATTGATTGGAAACTATTTTTGAAATAGGGCAAAACTGCTTGGCTTTCTTTTTTTTTAATTTTAACAGATGTAACTTATACCCATAATAATAATAAAGTAGTTGTCTGTTTAGTCTTGTGTTGCTTACAAAACAAAAGCTGTGTTTGTAATGATAAGGATCCACTGAGAAACTCCTGTTTTGGCAGTAAATTTTTTGTTTCTCTACTAATCTCATTAAGTAGACGGGCAATTGCAAACCTTAATTCTTCAAGTGGCTTTCTTCAAACCCAGAACTTCCTATGTTAAACACAGCTGCTGTGTAAAAGAAGACTGCCAGCATGTTTGTTCATGCATCCAGTTCTACAATCTGCATCTTGTGAAAAGATTTAACTGAACAGCTTGTTTTCAAATGCCGCTTCTGGTGGTGAAACTCTTTCAACTTAGTTGAACTCTTTTTGTTGTGGTGTTCACGTTTTTATCTTTCTGGGCAGCATTACATGTCGCCTAGTAGTACCTAGTGACTTGGGTTCCTGCTTTCTTGTAGAGGTCAGCTCTGTTTAAAACAGTGATCTTGCTTGCCTGGTAGCAAAAATGCTCTTTGTTGGCTTAGCTCAAGGGTGCCCAAACACTTTCATTGTCTTAAGCCATAAGTTGAGATCTCAAGGGCTGCAATGATTCTGAATGTTAGATATGTACGATTCATTATCAAAGATGTGTTTATTTTTTTTCATATTGGGTAAATTGTGGTCAAAGTGAAATAGATTACCCACAGGTGTACAGGGAGGAACAAATAGATCTGGCCTCTTGCCTTTCAGAGTGACTTCTTCACTAGCTGCAGCTCCATATCTGGAACTAAAATGTGGAGGCTGACTACACAGAGTATTTTTAATTTTTTGGGGTTGCTTAGTGGCAATTTGGACACCCCTGACTTGAATTTGCTGCCTACTTGATGTAAAAGTAGCTTTATTATAGAAATGTTATATGGAAAGAAAACAGAGTAGATCACATACCAGAGCTGTGCTTGAATCAAGCTGCTTAAACAGTAGTGTACTTGTGCCTCAAATCAGTTTTTGCACTGAGTACAGTAGTGCCCCATTATCTCGGGTTTTTTTCTGTCTTTCACAAACCCCAGAAGTCCCATTAGCATGGTTCTCTGCAGTACTTTTCTTGTACTTCTGGCATTACAGTACAATAAAGTATGTTTTGTCCTGAATTGGTATTTGCTATTCTTTTTCAGTTGTTTTATTTGCTCGGAGTCTGTCAAGTGAATGTTGTAACCTGTCTTGTTTCCCTCAGTTGAGTAAATTGAGTTTCTTCAGCATGGTGATAAGCTATAGGTGAGCATTTCCCTGAATGGGTTGTATAAGAGCATATGGTTGGGTTTTGGAAGTGCTAAGTAGTGCTTCAGGCATATCATTTGGACACTAGAAAGCCTTCAATTTATTGCTGTTAAAGAAAAAAATACAGGAAATTTATCATGTAATGGAATTCTGGATGATGAACTTCTGTTTCTGTCTTTGGAAAACCAGCAAGCTAAGCAGAAGTCCAATTTCTGCAAGAAACGTAGAGCTTTAGCTTACTAAATGGCTTAGGAATTGAATAATTGGGTGTCTGTGTATCTGGAATTGTTTGTGCATATGTTGTGTGCAAATGTTAGGGAGAAGCTTTCTGCATTAGCAGCTGGTCAGACTCAGAAACTAGCTGAAGAACCAAGGTGGGAAATCACTACAGTGGTGCAATGCAGCCTAGGGCTTATTTGGACTTAGAACAAGGCTTCTGCACTTTGGTACAGTGTTAAACTGAGATGTTAAAGATGGCTTTTCCTGAGCTCCATGATGTGAAGAACACAGTAGAGGTGAACTCATTAAAACGTATGAGACTTGAGTCCATTGCAGTGTTAAAATGGAATCTGAGAAGCTTTGCTCTGTGCTGTTCCCATGTGTGCCACCCAGGTGGGACACTCTGGGAGTGTTTCCCCTCAAATTTTGGTACTTCTTCCTTGAGATGCTTAGTGTGTGAGTACAGATAACACAGGGGACGAGGTGATTAGTTACAGCACAGCTAGCAACAGAGAAGGTGTTGTTTGTCTGCAGTTGTTATTTTGCAATAGGTCATTAGCCTTATATTGCCACATGAGGAATGGTGACAGCACACTGTAATTCCACTGTGTATGAATGAAGACCTTGGGATTGATACTTTGAGTCTTTAGTTTGGGCAGAAGCTTAGGCTTCAGCTTGGGCTAGCAATGGTGCCATAGCTTTTGCTACCATTTCATCCTGTAGTTGCTGTTTAGGTTTACCCCAAAGTTGCTGACTGCTGTTTCAGCAGGACACAGCTTGGGGAAGATGAAAAGTTTGGATGTTGTGTTTGTGGACTGAAAAAGCATTTTGATTAGGTTTCCTATGGATATTCAAAATGACTCGAGATGGCACATGTATCCGTGAGTGAGAAAAAGCAGCGTGATGCTGGGCTGTGAGCGGGCTGGCATAGGCTGCTTCTTATTGGGCAAACTTGTCTCTACAGTTTTCCACCAGATAGTAGGAAACAAAGTCAACAGTTGCTCAGTAAATTAACAGGTAAGGAACTGATGAAGCTGCAGCTCAGGACACAATTGCCCATAAGAGATAGCAGGGAAAGTTATTGCATTGACATGGGCAAAGGCTGACCAGTTAATTAACTTTTTAATAGGAAGAGAACATCAGCTGTGATGTTGCAGCAACATGTAAAACCAGAAATACTGTGTTGTGTTTCCTTCTCAGGCCTCCATTCACTCCTTTAACAGAACAGTGGTGGAAGTCCACTCAAACTGGGTTCCTTGGGGATCTTGAGGCTTTGTACTTTGTACTCCCTTGTACTTGTTAGGGGTGAAACATTTCAGATTTCCCTTGCTTGCTTGCTTAGAACACTGATTAGGATTGCTCTCTGTTGGACAACGGGTTGATGGTTGGACTGGGTGATCATAGTGGTCTTTTCCAATCCTAATGATTCTATGTTTCTAAACCCTGTTTTCATAGGGCTTTGAAGAGCTATGTGATTTAGAGACGCCTTTCTTCATAAGCTATAGATGAAATGGCATAATGCATTCTTAGTTTCATTGTTACTTTCCATTGTACACTTCACTCTGGCGTAAGGATTTCTCTTTCTATGTCTTTTTTGGTGTAAGGGGTAAGAAATAAGGGAAGAAGTTTGGTCTTTGCCTGCCTGTCTTCTGGTTGTTGCTGGTAAATCTGCTGGCAGCCTAGCACAGCCTTTTGCTCTGTGAGGACCTTGCTGGAAGGGTAAAAGAGGACCTCTGGATAAAAGAGGAAGGAAAATGCTGGTGTTTGGGATTCAGGGAAAGTGAACCTTGGGCATTGTAGAGATCCTAAGATCCACTGGAAAACAGTGAGTGATGCTGAATTTAAGTTCTGTTTCTCTTCAGACCTCATTGAACCCCGTAACAGGAAGGAAAGAAGAACCAGAGTGGAGTTTCTGGCCTTTCTGTTTGGGTGAATGAAGCTTCAAAGCGAGCTGTTTTTGTTCTTGTTATCTGAAGCATTCAGTGTTACCAGAAATGCATTCTTCAAAAGAGAAGGAACAAACTATGCTATTTATTTCCTAAGTATGTGAGAGGGTCAGACAGGTGGGGCAGAGAAGTTCTCAGACCTTTTGTTCTGACTCAGTCTGTGAGAGAGATGTGTGATGCCTAGCATCAACATACACTGATGTTCACTTCTAGAACTCATTGAAATTTACACCAGGGATTTTTGCTTTGTCCCTTTGAAAGCATTTGGTTGGACTGTTGCAAACACATGCAGGTGTGAATCTCCAGTATCTCTGCACCTTCCTTGCAGAACAAGCACAGTTTAAAGATCTGAGGAAGTGCCTGCTTTTGCCAATGTTAGGAGTCAATTCTGGTGTTACTGTACCAGCATGAGAGATTAGTCGCTTCATTTCAGGAGGAATCGATGCGTTGCCTGTCCCATGTCTGCCTGCTGGGGAAGCATTAACTTAGTGATGTGCCCAATAAGCCTCCACTCTTGGGATGAGGTTTCTTAATATGATTTCTACTGTAGCCAAAAGTACATCAGAGAGTGATGATTTAGGTCGCGAAAGTAGAACACTCAAAGCACCAGCTTTCCAATGGATCGGGCAGCATGTGGTTACCCTGTCCCTGCATTGAGATGGAATATTTTATGACATAATGGCCCATCCCAAGTTAGATCTCCAGCATAAGAAATGTCAATTCAAGTAATGCTTGGTAAAATGATAAACAGCTGAAAACAGAGTTGTGTATTGAAAAGTGCCAAGCAGCCTTAATGTTGTAATTACTCTTTGCACAGACCTTTCATTTTGCCAGAAAAAATGGGATGAGCCCAGCTGCAACAAGTGCACCCGTTTGGACAGAGGGATGGAAAACTGCATTTTTGCCAGAGACCCAAACGAGGAGTCCTTGCCTGACATTTCACCTTGTTGTTTTGAAACTGAGCCTAGAGGTCCTTAAGATGAATGTGGGACTGTTTCTGTGGCTCCCTTAACAGGTAAAATACTTCTGACTACTCTGTACTTTGATTACCAACTCCATCCTACCTTTAGCAAAATCCTAAGCTGACCCAATGCAGCTGGTGGGGTGTGATGGAGGTGACAGAATTAATTTTCAGGAGAGGCAAACAGTGACAAGGATCCCTGCACAGAGCTGTTGGTTTTATTTTCCTCTCCCACCCTGAAGTTAATAGAAAAAGAGATAGCTGCAGCTGAGCACTGCAGTATACTGCAGTATACTCCCTTCACTGCTTGCTTTATAAAGGGGTGTTTTGCTCTTGTCTGATAGCTGCTGTGGCCAGATTGCAGAAAGGAATGACAGCCACTGATCTCAGTTCTACTCTGTGTATGGCTTTGGTCACGTGTCCATAAGGGGTAAATCCAATTTCTCTGCAGAACACTGATGTTCCACACATCAGCTCCGTTTTTAAGATGGTTGTTGTCAAGGACACGCTGTTGCCTTCCCTTCTGAGAGCTTCTGTGAGCTGACCCTTACAGGGAAGTGTAAACTCAGCTCACTGCCAGCCCACATTTTGGGAGCAGCTACACCCCAGCCATCTGCATTAGCCCTGAACTGGAGTGTACAGACTGCAATGGTCAATGGCTGTGTTTGGAAAGTGCTCATGGCTGGGTACATACAGCATGCAAAATGTTAAAAACTCTGTGTTTCAATGGGGAACTCTTTTCTGGCAATACAACAGGATTCCCTGGATGTTTCAAGATGCAAGGATGAGTGCTTGTGACTGGAAGGACAGTCTGTGCTGTGTTGCACTTAGGCTGCAGACTGACATCTTTGGTGTAAAGTATGCTTGTGCTACTTCAACATCTCGAGTTGCATTCTCTGAGCTTGTGTTTGTTCCCTTCTGAAATAGAATTTGAGTCAAGCTCTTCTCAAAGCTATGCAGCAGCACTATTGCAATGCCATGTGTCAGGCCAACCCTTGTTAGCCACGTGTAGATGAGTGAGAGGCTTGAAGGAAACCTAATGAAACTTTATCTTTCCTGTGTTTTGCACTGAGGGTGTTGAATTTGGAGCTCTCTGAGGCAGCTTGTGCCTTAAAATAGACAGCGAACTCCTATTGTTCAGGTGACATAACGAGGCTGAGAAACAATGCAGAAGGAGGTGGTAGCTGATGTATTTTGACTGATTCTTTTTCCTGACTTTATTGTTATTATTTAAAATAGTATTTTAAGAATACAGGAAAATGAAGGGCCAGTATCTGGCTGGAAAAGTTGGGAGGTGTGTTCTGCACAAAGACCAAACGTGGTTTAACGCCTTTATCTGAGAGGAGCTAATTTAGAAATTGCCTCCTGCTCTCAGAGGGCTGCACTGCAGTGTCAAACACCCCTGTTTGATTACCTTTCTGCCCTCCACTCTTCAAAATGAGGAAGGAGGACCAAACAGAAGCTGTGCTTGTGGCCGGTACACTCACTATGGATTCAGGAGCACTGCACTGAAGTCCTTGCCCCAGAATGCAGGCAATGCAGGGTAGGTTCTGATATAAAAGCAGACACCTGCAGACCCATTAGTCCTTTACAAGACCCCTAACATTGTATTTTGGAAAAGAAGAGTTGCCACAAACATCCACCCTAGCTGGAGGTTCTGCTGAGGGCACTGGGGAGATATGTTAGGCAAGCTTTATAGAACCCAGCATGTCCACAGGGGTCGTTTTGGTGAACCAGCATTTACCAG